CACACACACACACACACACACACACACACACACACACACACACACACCCTATATACGTGTGTGTAGATAGACAGACAGAGAGACAGACAGGTAGATAGGTAGATAGACGGGTTGGTAATTGTCCTCGGGGAGAAAGCTTTTAGCTTTCTCTCATACACAAAAACAACCTGAAATGCAAAAAGAGCTGTATTTACGATTGAATAGTGTTAATGTCAAACATGAGAAAACAGCAATGAGATGGCCTTCCTTTGTATAGCATGAGGGGAAGAATCTTGCGTCTGGAGTCAGAAGATTTGGACAGAAATCCTGGCTGGGTTATTTCCTACCTGTGTAGTCTGGCTTAACTAACCCAGCTAACTTCTCTGTAAAACAATAGACTTGGATCAAAGTCCTTTTCAACTCTAAGAACTATAAGCCTATTTCTTAAAAACAAAATAAAACAAAACAAAAAAACAAAAAAAACTTTTTAATAATTCCTTTTTTTAAATCTTGAATTCCAAATTCTCTCCCTTCCCCACCTAACAAGAAGGCAAACAACATGCTCCAATCCTACTTCAAGATATCTCACTCAGTCTCACAAGCATCACACCAAAGCTTGGAAAAACCAACCTCATTGGCAAGTTCACTGAAAAAAAACTGGAGACTACAAGGTGAGAAAACCCCAGTCAGAAAATGGAGATCTTCTTTCTTAAAGGTACCGGAACATCTAAGAAAAAATCTAGAGAATGGGGAGAGGGAAGAGAAAAAGTATATAGTACCTACTATGTGCCAGGCCCTATGCCGTTTTACAAATATTATTGCATTTGATCTTCACAACAATCCTGAGAGGGAGGTTATTATCCCCACTTTACAGACAAGAAAACTGAGGTAAACAGAGGTTAGGTGACTTGCTTAGGGTCATGCAGTAAATGTCTAAGGCTGGATTTGAACTTGAGTCTTTCTGACTCCAGGCCCAGTGGATACACTGAGCCATGCAGCTGCCTCTTAAAAGTAAGCAAGGTGCCTCTGGACCTGAGTTTGGATTCCACTAAGAGGATTCAGTGACAAAACGTCTGTTGATTTAGACATCGCTTTCTGCAATTCACTAATTCATCCTCCAGGCTGAATTAGCTCTGACAGCCACTTCCTTTGATAGAGCAGAAGTTCCAGGGTCAACCTCACTTTTACTCTTCACTTTCAGAGCAGAAACCTCAGCTTCATTTTTGTCAGGATGCTGGGTCATGATGGGAAATGCGTGGAAGACGTACCTCGGGTGTATTTGTTTGTTTGTTTGATACAGCAAGGTCAGGGATGACCTGGAGACAACAGGAGTTATTCACCTGTGGAAAGACCCATCTTACAGGGGAGGAAGGGAAAGAAAGAAAGAAAGAAGGAGGAGAAATGAAAGGAAGGGAAAAAGGAAGGAAATGGAGGAAGGGGGAAAAGGAGGAAGAATGGATAAGGGGGAGAAAGGGGACTGTGGGGAAGGGGGGAGGTGGATGGAATAGGAAGAAAAGAAAGAGCTTTTTGGTAAAAATTGGGTCTTTTCCTTGGGCTGATGTGGCCTTTCAGATCTAATGAAAATCACAGAAGCTAAGGGCTCTCACTGCTGAAATCCTCCCAATCCAGAGTCCTTGGATGAAAGAACAAGTCCAGTGCACAACCAAGATCTTCGTTTTTTAAGTAAGCAAGGGCTACTCTCCCACCAGCTGGGGCACTTAGACGCCTGGTACCATGGGAGTGCCAGGGGAGCAGCAGCGTTTACAGAGCAGTTAAGGTTAATATAGATGGTTCCTGTTCCTCTCTACTAGGTGATCCAGCCTCCCACTTCATGACAAGACTGAGGGCACTGAATGGGGCTCCTTCAATGCCCCTCCTCCAGTCCTCAAAACTTGCCATCCTCACCCCACTCCTCTCTAATTACAGAGGCAGAGGGCCCTCTTCTGTACTCCAGGGTGGAGGTTCCTATAGCCAATCCTACTCCCTCCCACCTCCCAGATTAAAATGTAATTGGGAAATATGTAGCAAAATAAACAAAAATACAATACAGATAATGTGAATTTGTGGAGTTTTTTTTTTTAAGCCTAAAGCTCTGGACTTGGAGTCAGGAAAACTTGAATTCAAATCCTGCCTTAGAAATGTGTTAGCTGTGTGACCCTGGGCAAGTCATTTAACCTCTATTTGCCTCAATCCATTGGAGAAGGAAACGGCAAACCACTTCAGTATTTTTGACAGAAAAACCCTATGGACATTATTGACAAGATATGGTCCATGGGATCAGGAAGAGTCAGACACAATTGAACAATAACAGAGTTGTCATTAGGGTCAGGTGAGACAGTACAGGAGAAGGGCTTTGCCAACCTGAAATGGCTCTAGAAATAATAGTTATTATTACTGGCAACAAAATACCAAAATGCCACACGCATAATTGGGACAGGGGAGACAAAAGCTATCCTGAAAGATATCCCTGAGAGCTCAGCCTGGGTAAGTTGAGGCCGACACAAGAAGATGGCCAAATAAAACTCTGCTGTTAGGACACATCGTGTTATAGGCAGAAGTGCCCAACCCCTGCCCAAAGTCCATGCATATGTATGAGATGCATTTTACTGCCACATCCCCAGTCCTTAACTAGTGTCTTCTTCAAAGCAGGCACCAATAACTGTGTGTTGATTGAATAAATGAGCAGTCCAAACTGGTTTTTAATAGGGAGAAAAAAAAACCTATTCCATTCTCTGTGTGTGTGTGTGT